TAGCAATTGTTATTTTACAAACACGCAGACACTTTCAGAGGAAAACATTTTTATTGATGTTATGTGATATTATTAACTGTTTGTTCGTGAGTAAAGCCTGCGATAAGTGAAAACTTTTCTACGTTCAAAGTATGAACACTTATCTATTGACTTAAGAGACTTCCTCTAACATTGGATATTCTTTGAATATTTAGAAACTTAATATATATTTTTTTATTTATTTAATCATTTATTTCGGGCAATATTTACAAAAAGATCTTAAATATGTAAACAGAGGCCCATAGCATAATATATACCTTAAAACTAACACATAGATATATTAATTATAAAAAATTAAACTATTTAACACGTAGTGCAGACGTGAAGCTGTGTCGGCGGGCAAAATATAATACATAATATATACTAGCGGCTCACCCTCGCTTTGCTCAAATTGGCCTCTAGAAAAATAAATATATTCCACAGGAACCGTACATTTTTCCGGGATAAAAAGTAGCCATTGTGCTATTCCAGAATATAATAATCTATCTCAGTACCAAATTTCATCCAGATCCGTTCAGTCGTTCTGGCGTGTAAACTTTTACATTTATAATATTAGTATAGATAATATTCTTTATTACACAAATAAGTTATAAAGACAAAATAAACAGAAATTGATGTGGACAAAGGTGGGCTTATCTCTCTCTATAAGAGATCTCTTCCAGTCAACCCATTCATATGGGAAATAGTGTTAAAGAGCGGAACAGGAAAGGGTAAAAATAGGACTTACCTATATATAATAAATATAGGTAAGTCTATATATCTCTCTGTCTCTGTCTATATGTATCTCTGTCTCTGTCTATATGTATCTCTGTCTCTATAAATATAGAAGCCAAAAATCATCAGTACTCTCTTGAACTATTGACCTTTAGCTTACGTCAATTTGTTTTTTGATTTGATGAAATATTTTTTGACGACACGTTTGGCTCAGTTTGTAGTGACCCTACTTCCTGTGCCAGAGGTCGCGGATTCGAGTACCGTTGGGGGCATTCATTTGTGTGATGAGCACGAATGTTTGTACTCCAGTCATGTGTGTTTATATTTATAATATTATGTATGTATTTAAAGCTATACATGTGTAGTGTATCAACTATCTGATATCCATAACACAAGCCTCGTGCTTATAATGGAACTAGATAGTGTTGTGTGTTAATATTTAAAAAAAAAACTATAAATAGAAACCCAAAAGCTTAGAAGTAAAAAAAAAGTATCTCTTACCGTACCATAATAAGATTCTTCTGTGTCTTAAGTCATTTACTAGAATCTTACATATTATATCCAAACCGGCAAATACAATTTGCCTTTATGCTATTACTTATAAAGACTAAACCAATATCACTAAATGTAAAACATCAAAATCTTGCAAAAATATAAAACCCTCCTCAAAACGCGTATAAACACGACAAAGTTATAAAAAGTGAAGTAAAGGGTCTGTAGATCATCGTAGATTGTGGACTCATAAAATGTCAGGCGGCTTTGTGGCATAAATAAAGCGAAACGGCCGTTAAAACTCAACACTCCCCTTTAGAGCGCGAATCGATAAGAGCATCCTTGTGCGTTTCCATTATTCAACGATTATACACTAAAACGTCTAACAACAAAACTATTTATTTTTTCTGATATTTCTGATAATATATATATATATATATATATATATATATATATATATATATGTATATGTATATAAGTAATTTGTCAATATATATGACTTTAACGAATAAAATTTACTGGTTTTTCAATACCACAGTTATACTATAGACGAAAAATGGAAAAATGACTAAAAACATTGTGAAAAATATGTACGTAGCCAAGATGCGACAAACATTAAGCCCTTTTCTATTCTGTATTTCATAATTAAAATTACATATAAACCAACTCTATACTTTAATGTTTTAAAACAAATATTTTCTTACAGACGGCCACCGTCACACCAAATGGATGTCAATAAGCAAATAATATTTTTTTTATATAGCAAGGATCATAGCAAAACCGTGTCGTACCAAACATTGGACACTCGGTGTGATAGTAGGTCACTTGAGCTCGGCAGATGTCTCTGTAAATGTTTGAGCTCCCAAGACGCGCACCATTAAGTTGCCCAAACACAACACTTTCGCATATACAATACAACATATCGCTCTTTCAAATTTTTTTATAACAAAATGAAACAAAAAAATACACTAAATAATGTTATTTAATATATTTTTTTAATATTATTTACTAGCGACCCACGCTACGCTCGGTTGAGTCTCTAACCTTTTTTTTTTTGATTCGTGGAGAAACCCCTTTACGGGTGCCCGAGCGCGGAGGACGCTACGGGGTTTGTGAGACTCCTGTACAGAAACTCCTGTACAGACTACCCACTAAAACCACCACGGTGATCCCTATCGCAAAAAACAGGGCCACGGGATCGCTTGCACATTCGACCGCGTCTCTAGCCTAATTGTAACCTATTTTTTACTTCAGGTCATAAATTTCATCCAAATGTATGACTAATAAACATAAAAAAATCGCATTAATAAGTGGTCCGATTTTGTATATAACTACCTCAGAAGATTAATATGCTTTCTTCTTTATTTTTTCATTTAAGCTTTGACCAAAAGCTTTTATTTTATTCTATTCGATTGTACTTTAAAATTTTCTAGCAGATATTCAAAGCAGGAACCTAAAACATACAAGACTCCTCTGTTTAAAGCTAGTATCATATATGTATATATTTATGATACTAGCGACTTACCCTCCTTTTCATTTATTTTTCTAAAATATAAGTAGGCTAAGTTACTCCTTACAGCATCAGCTATCTGCCAGTGAAAGTCCAGTCAAAATCAGTCCAGCCATTTCGGAGATTAACCGGAACAAGCAGACAGACAAAATTTAAAAAAAATGCCGTTTTTCATATAAGTAGGTACCGTATATAATTTCACATGCATTTAGTAAAAAGCTGGTATTTTGACAATACAAACAGGCACTTCAATTTTAGTTATCTGTATAGATGTATATTTCATACAATTTAGCAGCTCTTAGTTTTGTTATGCTCATGAGTACTTGTTTGACTGTTTGTGAGTTTGAAATAATTGACTCATTTAAAACGCCATAATTTAACTTTACGATCTTGACCGAGCCATTTGAATCGACTTTCCAAGGAAGTTAGAAGCCTTTGTAGTGGATTTCACTCACCCGCTTATAATATTTGTAGTATCGAGAAAAAAAAATAAGTTAGCGTAGAAGAAGAAGATAAAAATACTTAAATTAAAAAGTTCTACTAATAAATATATAAAAAATGTTTTTTTTTTATTATTTTGTTTAGGTCATGCAAGAGATCTAAGGAATAAATCAAATCAATAGTTTGCAGAAATTTTTTGTGCGTCTATTTAAGTGCAAATTACTCGAGAACTTCAATGAAGTTTTATTACGTTATATACTAGCAAAAGCCTAGACAAAAGCAAATCTATCCCCCGGGAATCGTACATTTTTTCCGTGATTAAAAAGTAATCTAAATGCTATTCCAGACTATAATCTATCTCTGTGCCATCCAGATCCGTCCAGCCGATCTGGCGTTTAAGAGTAACAAACACCCATCCTCACAAACTTTCACATTCATAATATTCGTATAGATAGTATTCTAAATTGTATTATATAGCTAAATTTCATTTTAATCGGTACACAAGTAACAAAGATACTTCTCATTTGTTCTCAATAAAGAGCATTCTGTAATTGTGGGCGAAGCTGTAGAATAAATAATTCCTCTGTCTAATTTTAAATGATTCTAAAGCACCTTGATGATTCTAAACCTTTAGTATTATATTAATTAACTAGCATTGCCCGCGGCTCCTCCCGCGTTCAGATGACCAAAAACAAAATTCTTAGGTTTTACATATTAGTATACTCTTACAATGCAGTTTTTGTATTTTTTCTCAGAAATTAGATATTTTCCCGCGATAAAAAGTATCGTATATGTTGATCCGAATAACCAGCTATCATCATACCAAATTTCATCAAAATCTGTCCAGTGGTTTTCTCGTTATGCGGTAATAGACAGACAGACAGACAGACAGACAGACAAAAATTCTAAAAACTATAGATTGGGACTCTGTATCGATAATAATGTCTATTTCAATAAGATTTTCCAAAAAATATTTAATGTACAGATTCGACTTAGTTACAATTTTATTATATGTATAGACAGACGTATGAACGTAACGTATACGAACGTTAATAGACCTTTAAGTATGAATATAACGTAACGTAAATAGACGTTACGTGAGCCTCTTCACTTCCCTTATGGATTTGTAGCTTCATTAGTCAAAACTTAAAGACAAAAACATATCCATCAGGATTCAACACGTGTGACGATGAGAGGTGCATAGAGTACGGTATATAATAGACACCTCTGTAATGAATTAATAAAATTTATTTATTGCTTTGTTTTTCGTGTCTATTTGGTAATTAATTCTTTAAATGTTAGTTGGCATCCTACGAGTAGATTGGAGGTATGTGGTACTCTCTAGTACATACTTTAAGCTTTAAAACATTTGATAAAAATCGTGAAGCTTTTATAATCTCATAGAATACTCTACTTATAATAATACTAGTGACCCTCGTATTGCTAGGGTTCGTCCCAAGACAAAACAAATCTATCCCACGGGAACCGTACATTTTTCCGGGATAAAAAGTAACCTATGCACTATTCCAGACTATAATCTATCTTTGTGCCAGATTTCATCCAGATCCGTTCATTTTTCCGTTAGCGTGAAAGAGTAACATCCATCCATCCATCCTAACAAACTTTCACATTTATAATATTAGTATGGTAATACACACAAACATTTTTCAAAAAAAAAAACAATTTAGCAAATATAAAACTCCGATTTTCTAAAAATAATATTCACGTAGATATAATTTATTATAAATATAATATCTTATAATAATAAAGTAAACAAAGTATACAGTGGCGAGTGTTCACTGACCTGCATCTCGGGCGGGCCGCCCTCGTCCCTGATGAGTAGCAGGTAGCTGTGACCGTCGATTATCACCTCCTTCTTGAAGCGACCACCTAAAAATATAACATTGATTTTAATATATATCTATACGTATCTATAGTAAGCAACAGTAAACACGTCATTTGTTGGGTGTAGATTACATTATGTTAATACCATAATTTAAAATAACATATGACTGGCCTATGTATATCTTGAAACATGAATGAAAAATATTTAAAATATCTGTAATATTCAAAAGCACCTAAAAAAGTTCTTTATCGAATGACAATAAGATTTACAGATCTAATTTAAACGATTCAAAAGCACTTTTAACACCTCCAAGTGAATTTCTAAAAAAATAATTAAATTTCTAACAAATCTATTGTTAACTGTAACGCCGCGCCGGCGTGTTCGCGGTCGTTGAGGGATTAATATTTTCATATAGCCTATGCAACTCGCGTTATCAAGACATAGCTAATGATATCAAAATCGGCATACGCGTTTCTAGATCGCCACACAGGAAGAAACATACATACTTACATAGACTGATAAACACATTACCCTCCTTTGCGTCGTGCAGTCGGGTAAAAAAGACTATTCAACGCATTGATATACATATAAAAACTCATATACAATGATTCAATATAACGTAAAATATTAAATAATTTATATTTTGATTTGGAACAGCGTTCATATTTCAGGTAGACTATTACTGAATATACTGAATGCAGCTAAAACGTAAGATTTTAATTATTAACTAGCATTTCCCGCGGCTCCGCCCATATTCAGATGACCAAAAACGAAATTCTTAGGTTTTACATATTAGTATTCTCTTACAATGCAATTTTTGTATTTTTCTCAGAAATGAGATATTTTCCCGCGGTAAAAAGTATCCTATATGTTGACCCGGATAACCAGCTATCACCATACCAAATTTCATCAAAATCCCTCCAGTGGTTTTTCTGTGATACGGTAACAGACAGACAGACAGACAGACAGACAAAAATTCTAAAACTATAGATTCGGCCTCTGTATCGATAATAATGTCTATTTCAATAAGATTTTCCAAAAAATATTTGATGTACAGATTCGGCTTAGTTACAATTTTATTATAAGTATCTATAGACTAGATAAGATAAAAACATGTCAATTATCAACATAGTATCGAAAATGGGAATTAACATTAGAGTTTAGGTAAATTATGTAATATGCAGAAAAAGTAGGCTTCATATTATGAATAATGTAATAATATGAAAATATACAATTTATGCATAACGTAAATAATTTTACACATAATATGTTCCGGCTTCTTGTCAAAAACTATATTCTCCATTTATTAATTTTATCATTTTTAATATTTACTGTTCCTTTTTTATTTAATTTTTATTTAATTGCTAAAAATTCACAATTAATAACACGTATAGCATGTTATAGTTAAACACGACAATAAAATTAAGAATAGAGTAGCGCCACCTATTAGGTCAACGGAGTAACTTTTAACAACCATTACTAAATTTTCACACTAGGTGGCGCTTGATGATTTCTATAATCTCACGATAGATGGCGCTATTTTGGTTCTGACTTTCTAAAAGAACTGCTAGATGGCATTGTTATCAAAATAAGACACCAAATATAAAACCTCATTCTTTCACCGTGAATAGTAATAGTAAGAGTTGTACATAATTATACAAGTATGATTGTTACAAAGCAAAAAGAAAAGATTTAAAAAGAATTTAATAAATGATTTTAAATTATATCATTTTTTAGACAAATTATAATTTTTATTTACCTTCGGGACTCTCCTCTTGCATGTACGCGCCAGTAAGGTATCTGTGAACTAGAGCGGATTTCCCGCTGTCGGGGGATCCCAGCACCCCCACGCGTAGTTCTGTCACCCCGCGGGACGCTGTCCATTCTTGACTGTTTACGAAAGAATCTGTAAAAAACACATAAAAAGTTAATGTCATGTAATAAAAATTGTAGATACAATATCTATACTAATCGATACAACTCTTCTAATATGAAGATATCTTTTTAAATTATAATTTTTAGGAGGTACCTACATACTATATTTGGTATTATATGATCTGTGGTTATAGCATAGATAAAAAATAATTACCATAATATTAAAATGTAAGACATTGAGTCGCAAGGTTTTGTTTATAAAGCAATAATTCGACTCAAATTTTGTATATTAAATTACAAAATTATAAATTCTTTAAAGTAATATATATGACACGTACCATCCACATCTAATTATATGAAGTAAGCGAGTGTAATATCATGCTGTAATATATCATCGACATGAAGTATCGTCGAGGATTACTGAATACTTATTCGTTCATTGCACGTTACGTCGAGATAATTATTGCTAATTAAAAGATAATTAAAATTTCATGTTTATATAAGTGAATCTCAAGTTTGATTTATAGCCGGCTATATTATAAACTTATTTTTAGGTTATCTATTGAAATTTTATACATAAAGTAAAACGAATGCTTGAGATGAAACAGAATCCAACTTTAAAGATTTTTAGATTTTTAAAAAGCTTTAATTAACTTTACTAATGGCTGTAATCAAGTCTTGGAAGTCAATTTTTTGAGCTGACCTGATGATGGAAGTGGAAGGTGAAGTGGAACTGTTGGCTCCTTGTAAAAGCATTGAGTTTTGGCTCATTAGATTCATTTTGACAAGACAAGATATTTCTTTCTATATTATATACTAGCAGAACCCGCGGCTTCGCTCGCACTAAAACTACAAAAAAATCTAAAGAGATAGGTTTCATATAAACTTTCATCCCCTATTTTAGCCTCTTATGGAATGAATTTCGAAAAATGCTAGAACACGTATATATTTATTTGTATTGAAGAACATACATACCAATTTTCAAGTAATTCTGATCATAAGTAATATTTTGGGTCCTATTATAATGTGTCTTCCCGTGGCAAAAAAAAATAATTACCGTTGTAAAAAGTAGCCTATGTCAATCTCCAGCTCTCTAACTATCTTCACACCAAAAATCACGTCAATCCGTAACTCCATTTTGACGTGAAAGAAAGACAAACTCACAAACAAACAAACAAACTTTCACATTTATAATATTAGTATGGATGTATCTATATATAAGTAATAGTTGCTCAGTGTATGCAATAATAGTTACTCAGCTTTTTGTAATTACATTAGATTATAAATTTCATTTTATAATTTGTAGGGTAAATAGAGAAGTAGGTTAGATGATGAGAACAGATTTCTAATTTACATTATCTACTGCTTGCGACTAAAATAAACAATTGGATACCGCTAAAATCGAACTGGTGACCAATACATAATTGCCCGATTTCACCAACGTCACCTAAGTTTAAGGGATCCCCTAAGCATGGTTAGGGGGCTGTTAGGGGACAGTTTCTGTTTCACCGACAGTTAGGTGTCACCTAAATATTAAAAGGCCCTCTAAATTTAGGTGCTCGAAATATGGGCTTAAAGACGATCGTAAAACGAAATTTAATTTAGGGGCTAGTTTAGGGGACTTTTAAGCTAGGGATCCCATACGTAGGTGGTAGCTTATGGGTTGTCGGTGAAATCGGGCAAATATCTCGTGGATTTTCTAAAAGCTATCTTAATATTAAACCTCTTTTCTTCTTTTCTTAGTACACTTTCCATTTAAATTTTCTCATGCCAATTTACTTTGGAATGTTTCATTATTGACACTGTAGCTTTCAATAAAACCAGTTACACAGCTAGTTACGTTTTCTGTTCATTATCTACGTACTGGATATTTTTATCAATACAACTAAGTACTTTTTATAGGTCAATACCTTTATTATTTAATTAAGTGTGTTTATTGTAATGGCGTTTATAAATTTTAATTTATTAGATAATATATAAATGTTTGTGCCAAATACATTAAGTATGACTTTGTTTTTTTAAACTTAGTCAACATAAAAAAAAAGTGAAAATATATATCTCACTATCTATTTGAGTACTTATTTATTAACAAATTAAATACATCATTTAACAAATAAATTAAAAATTAAAAAAAAACCCCTACGCAAATTAATTGTCATGGCACGCGTGAAACTCTTAATGGAGTAATCATACGCTAAAATGCGTTACATCATTTTGGAAAAGACTTGATACTCTTACAATGCTGGACCGATATTAACAAAACATAGCTAAAAACCACCACAAGGAAACTGGCTTTCAAATGAAAAAAACCGCATCGAAATCGGTCCATCCGTTTGAGAGCTACGATGCCACAGACACATACACACACAGACAGACATCGACGTCAGACTTATAACACCCCTCTTTTTACGTCGGGGGTTAAAAACCAATAGAACATTTTTTTACATTGTTCTAACTCAAAGGCACAGGTAAATTATAGTAAAGTATAAGCTTCATTACATCATTTGTAGGGAAAATAGAGAAGTATAAGATTTCTACTTTCCACCGTGGAGCAAAAAGCAAGAACGCGTGTCGTACATTACGCAATTACCCAGATGTCATTTGTAACGGTTCATAAAAGATGCTACGTTTGTAAGGAGCCACTACACTCGCGACACAGAAACTATGTATGTAAATTAATACACCTATTCCACATAGTCTCCGAGTAAAATGGATGTTACGTACGGACAGACGGACACTAAAAAATCATGGGGTTCCATTTTATCCTATGACTACAGAAGTCAAATAACGGTCAAATGCGAGCAAGTCTCGAGCGTAGAGAGCTCTTGGTACTATAAGATATAATGAAAAGGAAGATTGTTTCTTTTTTATTATTTTTTATTGTATTATATATATATATATATATATATATATATATATATATATATATATATATATCACTTATACGGTGTCAGAATATATTTTCTTAAAGGACAAACGGAAGGACAGACAGTACATTCCTGTAGTATCTTTGACTGAATTCAAAAACTACGTACTCAATTCAAATGCGTTGTTATGTTTATTTTTAATCAAAAAAACCAATATTTTGATTTAAATAACAATTAAACTAACCAATGAAATGCTTTTTTCGTAGCCACAGCGATTTCATCCACGACTCCAATACGACGCGACGTTTTCTACCAAGACGAATGAAAACGCTCCTCGAACAATAGCAGCCTAGCGACTTTACTACCAATTGTTAGAAATAAAAAAAAAACATTGCGATGCCGCCATTGTATATTTTTTTTTTATTTTGAAGTCAAATTACTAAAACTCTTCATGATCGCCTCATTTACAACTTTTGGAAATTTATTAGATACCTATCAAATTTGAATTTATTCTACAAAATTCTCCTTTAATACCACAAATGAAAAATTTAGTAACTATAGAAAGGTCTAACTCTCACATAAATAATGTCCTTCTGACCGATTACCGTAACGGCGGCCAATCTCACTGAGACTTGCCAAATGCGCAGGAGATATTATAATGCAGTGCGAGTGTCTGTACGCGCAGACACAACGTGCACTCTCTATTCCTGTCACTCTCAAAGTCCGATGGGACGATACTTCGACACGACCGGTGAGAGTTAAGGCGCAGGACCGACGGCTTTACGTGCTCTCAACTCCGAGGCACAAGGGTGTAACACCGGACCAGCTCCTCAGCATCTGCAGCCGAACATGCTAGCCACTAGACCACCGAGGCAGTTACACTCTCACATAATATGCACAAAAGACAGATATTGTAAAATATATTAAATTATAGTATTAGATTAGAAAAACTTTATTTACTTTAGACTATAATAGTATAGAAAATAACACGCGAAAATTTTTCACTTTACTTCTTGCATGCAAATAAAACGTGGAACACGATAACTGGTTAGTACAGCCGCTGTTAACCATACCACATAATATAAAGGAGTAAACTCATTCAAAACGAGTCCAATAAATCAACACACGAACTTGTTCCGTCAACGTGTCGCGGGAAGTTTTCTTTCACCAAACATTACGTAAAGACAGGACGATTTAGACAAAGTTTGATTTTTTCTCACAACTAATAAAACATTTGCGTGTATTATATAAAAATGTACATATTATTTTTTAATGATAAAAAAATCATATTAAAAATCGCTAGTACCTACCTACTAAATAATATTTTTTATTATTTATCACTAGCGGTTATTATATACCTATTTAAAGCTATAGTTTTGTCGTCATCGTAATAAATTTCATACAAATTAGTCCAGCCGTTTCAGCGTGAACAAGTAATAAGCATACCCACACAGACATTCAATACGTATATACCTACGTAGGTATAATACATATATAATAGTGGTCCAATATTATGTACAACATACAAATATAGGTATCTAATACGTACTTGAAGATAACAAAAACAAATATCTTTGTTATAAATACATCAATATATTTATTTATAAATCCGCGAAAAAAAACCGAAAAGATAGTTTTACATGAATATTTCTGTTGGCACTTAACTAGAATAACTTGTTTTATATTTCCACCATACCATCAATTTTCTTATTGTTTACAATTCAAAAATACAAGCACGGATATTCATACATACAACTCTTATTCTTGAACAATTACTCGTACTTTCTAAATTAAATATATTAAAATCACTTACGTTAATAGGTCTCACACAAAATATCTCATACATAAAAAAAACATCAGATGACAAAAATAATCATATTTATACCGTGATTAATTTTGGACATTACAAAATGCAACGTTCAAAAAAACCCAGGGATGATGTGCCGGATAGTACTTCTTTGCCCTAGAAAAAACAGAACAAAGGATACCGAGGGTTTCAATCGATAGTGTTTAATTTTCCTATCCTTAAAGGAATTACTAGAAGGGGTTAAGTTAGAAAAAAAAAACAATTTGGCAAACGTTAAAATGAAATTTAAGTTGGTATACATCAGCAAAAACATTCATAATGAAGATCCTATACATGCTCATTTCGCACATTTACGAC